AATCCACAAAGCTGAATGGATAGGAAGTTGACACGGAATGATTCATTGAATCCGGCTGCCCCTCCCCTGGCGCCCCTGGATAAGTCCCGTTTCCCCTTCCTTGTCGGCAGCCGCCCTGGTCCCCCGCCTCCTTCCTCACGAATCCCAGGGCGGTGGGAGTCTCGACGCGTGCCGTGGAAGCATTTCCCTCCCTCAGTGCCCTTCCATCGACTCCCTGAAGGCTCATCGTCTCCTGATTCTTCGCAGTAGCGGCCTCCGCTTTTCTTCCTTCCCCTTTCCTGTCCTCTTTCCCTTCCTCCTTCCCGTCCTCGCCTTCCTCCCCGCTCCCCACCCGACACGGACCGCCCCCCGCTCGTTGCCTGTCTCGCGCCTCATTCCTTCCCCCGCCCGGCTTCCTCCCCTTGGAACCAGCCCCAGACGTGCCTGCCCCTGCCCCAAGGACTCCCTCCGCCCGAGTTCCCCCTCGGTCGGTCTCCACGCCCTGGCTCTGGGCCCCCCGCGTCCGGCGCCAGGTCCTAGCCAAGGAGTCCACGAGTGTACAAGCCTCCGCCCTGGCAGCTTCGAGCATGGACTGCCAGAGATCGCCGCCTTTTCCCGCTTTCACCGGCCCAGGGGCCGCCGATGGTGTCTCGAAGCTACCCTCTGTGCATACGAAAGGAGTCAGGTGCCGGACCACGGCCCATCGCTCCTTCGGCGCCACCCAGCTACCCATTCTGAACACCAAGGTCTCTCCTCGGCTCAATGTACATTTGGGCAGGCTGAGGCCCAGTCCTAGCCTGTTCCCCGCCTCCCACGAGTCCACCGCCACCGCCGGCCAGCATATTCCGGTCGCATGGCCGGAAACATATCCAGAATCGCCACGGCCTCTGGCCCCATCGCCTTCGGATGGCCCGACTGCCGTTCCATACCATTTGTCATCATGCACCTGGACCACCCGTCCTTCCTTTCTGCGGAGTAGGCCGCGCAATTTTTCTGCTTCCTCGTCGTCCAACGAATCTAAGCGGGCTTGCAACCCCTCTCCTAGGGCGACCCCTGCGGCGTATTCTGGACGGGCCGCCAATTGTACCTTGCTCGGCTTCCGTAAAACGTACCCGACTTCAAACCAGGCTTCGTCCAGAATGTCGTACGTGTCTTCGCCCAAGAAGTATGCCAAGAGCTGGCCCTTCCCCAGAGGCTGGCGGGGGGCCTGAGTGCTTGTGAAAAGGTGCAGGACCGAGTAGGAGCGTGCCGCTATACAGGGCCAAAAAGGCTCGTCGTTGGGCTTGCCCCAACCTAAGGAGCCCCCTGCGCGGAGGGCAAGAAGCATGGCTGTCTGGGTTTGCGATGGCGTCAATGTGGGGTTTCTGAGGGCCGCTGTCGTCGAGGACGAAGGGGAAAGGCTGTCTTCACTGCCCTTCTTTGGTACGAACGAGACATCCGCCTCCGCAGCCCGTCGACGTTTAATTCCCATGATGCGGGTCTGCAAGGAAAAGTGCCGGGAAAAAGTGTTGGGTATGATTACTAGTTGAAGTTCGACGAAGGACATGCTACACTCGAGGAGAGGACCGGGGTATCTTGGCAATGGTTTTGAAGAAAGACTAGGGATTTCCATTGTCATTCAAACCTCGGAAGGTCGAAAATCACGGAAACACTGGACCATAAATTATCCAACAGCAACAAGTGGACATGAAATAGACCAACGCGCGTGGACGTTGCCCTCTCGAGACGGGTGTGCAGGAGGGTCTCCCGGGCAGTACCAGTAGCAGGGGAGAGCCATCCCAGCCTCGTTCCTGCCGCCGGGAAAAACAAAATAAAGTCTTATAAACACGCACAAAGAAACTCCATACCTGAAAGAGGTGAATGTCCGCTCATTTTGGTATGTACTTTTTCATCGACTTTTCTTTGTATATCATGATCCTAGCACTACGAACAAATTCACGCCATCATCACACGAAGTCAGTTGCAAAATCATAGTCTGCGTCCATAGCGGTCGCCCCGGTCCCCCCCGCCCGTCGAGTCAGCTTGCGAGCTTTCTTCCTCTCCGCTACCATTTTCTTCCTGGCTGTTTGATTTATCTGGACATTCAAGCCATCCCCTTTCGCATCATCCAATGCCATAGCCATACTCACCGCCTCACTTTGATTGGAAAGACTCCGTTTCGTTCTCTCCTTCCTTCGTGCCCCTTCGCCCTGAGCGGATTTTCCTGAGGCCGTTGACCCTCTGTCTGTCATGCGACCTTTCTTTTTCAGCTCCCCCTGGCCCGCTTCCGTCTTCATCTTCTCCCCCTCTCGTGTTGACACTTTGCCTGCGTCCTGTCGCCTCGTCCCGCGCCTGGAGGTCCGGAGCCGAGACACAGGGGCCTCGCTCACCTCCATAATCTCCTCCTCCTCTTCCTCCTCCTCCTCCTCCTCTTCTTCTTCTTCTTCTTCTTCTCCATCCTCTGCATCCCCCTCGGCCATTTCCAGGTCCTCCTCGTCCCCCAGTTCCCCTTGTCTCCCTTCACTCAATCCCAGACCCACCCTCCTCCCCGCCACCCCACCACTCTCAAAGGCGACAAAGCCCTTGCATGTC